GCACCAGGCGGATGAACTCCTTGCGGTCCTCATAGCGCACCACAGCGTTGCTGCCATTGGGGATCAGTTCCACCACACGCTGATCACTTTTTTGTAGGTCAGCTCATTCCCAAATTTGAACTCAAAGGTGTCTTTGTCCATGACTTCCATCACCTCCAGGAGCTTCACCTGCCCAGGTCCCAGATAAGTGCTTGTTAGAGAGATGCCCAGTGGGTAAGTGGTGTGCCTGAGCCCCCATCTCCTCCCTTCCCAGACAAGGGCTGGAGTGACTTCAACAGCAGCACAGCATGGGGTATGCTGCCCTAGAGCTGTTTAGCAGACCCTGGAGCACTGCACGCTTGAAAGAGTAGTCAGCATGGCCACATCTCTATATTAGCCATAGGATGCCCAAATGAGTGCCTTTTTTGTGCATGTTTCTTTGGCACATCACAGGAGGAAGCAAGTACAACATGAGGACAGGGACACAAATCACCACCTTGCTGAGCGCCACAAGGAATAGGATATGCATAGCCTCCCAGTCCCTCTCACCAGCACGGAGTCCACAGCAGGGAAGTCTTTGCTCCAGCTGACCTCCTCCCCTGTTAATTGTTTCCATACAAAGCCAGGAAGAGCCAGTACCTGAAGGAGAACAGGAATTTTGCTGAGTCTGTGTGAAAGGAGAAATCCCCAAAGATGGAGATAGGGCTCAACAGTGCAGACACAAAGGAGCTTCCCTGCTCCCTCTGTCCACATGCAGAGCTCATCACAGCTGGGCAGACACCAGACACCCTCTCCCAAGCTCCCAGCAGCATCTCCCAAACCCCAAATGCTGTGCATTCTCGCAACACCTCGGCCCCAAATCTTGCCAAACACCTTTTGTCCCAGTGTCTGAACACAGAGCCCTCACATGCTCCTGTTGGACAGGCTGCAGAACCTGGCTGATGACTCCCTTTGTGCCAAACCTCCACGCAGGGACAAGGTTGAAAGCTTACCAGAAACTCCTTGCCCCTTAGAGCTGCTCCCATAATCTGCCCAATCCATTCGTACTTCGGGAATTCTTTACAGGAGGGGTTTGGGACATACATGTCCCTGGCTTCTCCAGTGCCATTACCCTACAGGAACAAAAGGCAAAGCTGCAAGCCAAGATCTCAGCGCAGCACAAAGCACCCCAAACTCAGTTCCTGCAGTGCCTCTGGGCACTTCTCACAACAGAAGTGGGCCAACCCCCCCATTGTCCCTGGCCATATTCATAGTGAGACACAAGTATCCAGGCACTTGTCAGCATATCCTAAAACAAGATGCCACAAAGCAACCAACCCAACCCTTCATGAGGAAAAGTTTCTGACCAGTGAAAGTAGGTATGTCACTGGCATGCAAGGGAACAGGGACAGCACTGCATTGTCAGGCACAAAGATCTGCCTCAAATACCCTGACCCACAGTACCTGGTTGGAAGTGCGCACAAAGAAGGGCAGGGGCACGGGGGTGTCTGCTGAGCTGGGACACAGCTCCTCCGACATGTCCGCCAGGCTGTCCCGAAACCCACCACCTGTAACCCCGAAAGAAGGGCATTTTTAGTGATGCAAACTCCCCATGTGCTGACCCTGAGTTATGGAGTAAAGATGAGGAATTCTGACAACCTGGCCCAGGGCTGAGCAGAAGGCTCCTGTCAGAGCCTTACGGCACTGAAGAAATATGACAGGAGAAATAACATCCCTGCACGGCCTATGGAGGACAGCCAGAGGGAGCCCTGGCACTGTCAAAGCTGCTGTTAGTGACTAATGGAGGTCTGATCCCCACCTTAGCAAGCAGCACTCCTCACCAGGGACGCGGCTGGGGGTGGTAGGACAAGGCAACCCACCTTCCCTCTCCTAGATGAGCAGAAATACTGGGAGCAAACAAGAGTCCCTACAGCAATAGAGTCACCCCATCAACCCTCGACTCTGCTCCAGAGGAGCCCCTGCCCCACACAGTCCCTACCTTGGTCGATGATGCCTTCTGCGATGAATTTGCACTCCCACCACTGGTCATAACGCAACGGCCACCTGCAGAGAACCAGGCATTGCCTGAGGTGCTGCTCAAAGCCAAGAAGATGCTGGGGAGGCAGCAGACACAGCAAGGACACCAGGGGACTAGGGTGGACCAGCCTGGGCTTAGGACAGGACAAGATCTCGATCTCCAGAGACAGCTGCATCCTCAGTAGGGAGGTGACACCTTGGGTAACAGGCCCTCATCCCACGGCTGAGCTGGTTCCTGCCCTAGCAAACCCTCTCCAGAGCACAGGACACACACAGGCTTCCCAAACACTCCGCTGTGACAGAGGATATAGCTCCCAGCACTGCACAGTCCCCTCCCTCTCCCAGATACCGCTTACCTATAATCTAGAGGCTTTTCAAACTTGTCTGAGGGTTTCAGGCCTTCATACACCTGCAACAAGCAGAGAAGATCAAGGCCGGTATCCCCCCTCCAGGGGAACCGGTGCCAGGTGAAGGCAGGAAATTGGAAGAAACCTGGTTTGTCCCAAACCTTTAAATACTGACTGAATTTGACCTCTAAATGGTCTAGGAGCCCTTCATTTTTTGAAGGGGAACATAAATTACAGTGCTAACCAGTGTATGGAGCTTTCTGGCCTTGGAGGTACATTGAGCACATATTAAACCTCACAGCAGCCTGGGCTGTTTATGCACACGTAAAGCAATAGATCTTTTGGAGGTGGGAGGAGAATGACAACAGGAAGATCAGTATTGCTGTAAAACCACAATACAGGACTGTATGCAGCTGCATTATTGTTGTCACACAAGAATTCTTTGCTGCCCTTTTAGTGTAATGAGATTGTTATGCTCTGCATTAGCAACATGCCACAGAGAGCACCCAAGATAGAGCAGAGACTTCAACTCGGAGATCCCAAATCCCTCCTAGATGTTATTCCTGGATATAGGATCATCAGCACATGTAATTGTAGAGCCTATGAGTCATGTGAAGAGGCCTTGAGGACTCCAGGTATCTCCAGTTCCAAGTTGTCCTTTCCACCCACCTCTGTATGGTTCATTTTGGTTTTGGGATGCCCCACTCTACCCAGAGCAGTAGGGACCCTTCCAGGAGGGAGAGTACCTGGGTGAAGACAGCGTTCTTGCAGCTGGGGTCCAGGGCAGGGTTGTCTCGGTGCTCCATAGCCAGGCGTCGGTTAATATAGAGCCGCGGCATGAAGTTTGGCTTGCTAGTCTCCGAGTCCTTCAGACACTGGGTAATGAGAGCTGTGCGCCTCTTGGAGAGCAGCAAGAACTGCTTGATATGCTGCCAACAGGTATGTCCAAAATATCAGAAGTGCCCAGTGTCCAAAACACATCACCTACTCCCACTGGGCCACCAGGTCTCTCCCCAGGGCCACTGCCTTCCACACACGAACACATTCTCCTTGACAGTATTTGCTCCATCTCTGCCTCTGCAATATTTTGCTTTCTGGCTTAAGGGAGATACCAAGCCCAGTCCTCCCTTCATCAGTTGTCACCCGATGCTCATACTCCAGTGTCGCTTGGACTCTCCTTCACCCTCACTCTCACCAGAACATCAGTCTTACTATCCCTCCTATTTGTAATCAAAGCAAGCTCCTCTAAACAAACAAGAATCCTCAAATACTTTGGGTCCTATGTTGAGCTAGCACAGGAATTACAGTGCTTTCTGACACCAGGCCTGGAAACACACAGAATGGTGCTACCCCAGCAACGTCTGGCACATATTCTGTGAGAGGATGTAAGGAAAACAGACAACTGGAGGAACAAAATCATCCTTATGAGAAAGATGGAAATCAAATGCTTGTTAACACCAGAAAGAAGTTACTGTTTGGCTACAGCCAGCTCAAAGCTGCTAGCAGCAACTGTAGGAACAGAGTGCCCTGGGCTTAGATCTTGGAGGGGATGTGTGTCCAGCTCATGTGCCCCGTACTGCTGTGGTCCAAGTCCTTCTGAGGGTGAAGTGCACTGGTTTGATTCTACTTGTTACCCCATAGCTACATGCTTCCACAACAGTGTTTTAGCAGGAAAGTAGCCTCTAAACAGTATCACCTTTCACAGCTTTAACGAACTGAGCTCAGCCAGGTATTTCCCTTGAGCTACTTTAAAGGCAACAAGCACCGACTGCCTCCCTCGCTACAGCCCAAGCACTATCACCCTGCCAGACTGAGGCCCCACAAGACACAGAGCGAATCACCCACCTTGAGTTTGCTGAACGTGCCAATAGTGTGGTCCCAGGCTGGCACCAAGTGATGCAGGACACTGTCCAGAAGCTTGATGAACCTAAGTCACAAAGAAGGTACTGCGATACAGGAGGGACAGGGATCTGCACAAGCCTATTCCAGACCAGACACTCCCGGACACAAGCAAAAAAGTAACAACTGATCCAAACCAAACCCAGCACGGTCTTTTACATCACAGAGCCTTTGGTACTAAATTCCCACTCCCTGTGTACTGCAGGAACCTTCACCCTTGCAAGGGACTCTGCATGCACCTGCCCCACATACCACACAGATATGCTGTGCTTGCAACACACAAGACACTGTGAACTCTTGCTGCAAAATTCCTCTGAAAGTGTAGGGTAGTTACCCTAGGGAGTTCACTTTGTTCCCAAATGACTGCTATTTTCTCCAGGGTCCAGAATGCCTTTCCCAAGGGGAGTCACACAGCTTTACAGCCTCCAGCCATACTCATGCTGGAGATGGCACTAACCTGCAGGCAACGCCACTCCACTTGTCTGCCCCCGCTCCATACACTACCTTTGAATGAGCACGGCCCGTCGGTACAGCAGGTCAGGGTCTGTCCCTTCTAGACGAGGGTAGCGCACTAAATTGGGCAGCTGGAACATGTCAGCACTGAGCCCCAAGTCCCTCTGTCGGGAGGATTTGATTTTGATGCCTCGAAGGCGAACGTCAATCCCATCATCTGCCAAGGAAGACCATGGACGATACACTAAGACCGTGAGAAAGAAAGCTTTCCAGCATGGGAGGTTGATAAATCAAAGCACTGGGAATGTGATCAGCTCCATGAGCTCTTGGGCTGGGCACTGAAAGCCTGAAATACCTCTGTGAAGAAGCAGTGGGGCATTTTCAGAAGTTAAAATAAAAAAAAAAATTGAAGGCAGAGAAAGACAGGATGAAAGCTGAGAGCTTGCAAACCTCAAGGTCCCCCTGGAGTTTCCGATGGTTCTTCCGCATCTCATCTGAAACCGCCCACAGGGCCAAGTAGTACAAGCCACAGGAACAAACTCTTAATGTACAGTATCTTACAGGTGCATTATGGATGTGGCCATAACACTCAGCCCTACCTCTGCACTCCACAATCCGGATCTCGATGACAGGCAGGTGTGCTGTCATGTCCTCAAGGACGCACACATCCCCAATGTAGCTCCTGCAAACACAGCACAGACAAGGGCTGCAGAGCTGTTCCCTCACCCACCCTGCCAAAATCCACTCGGCCGCTTGTAAGGGAAGGGTTTGCATCTTTTGAAATAGGAGCTTGCAGCAGGAACTGAGACCCAGTTGCCTACAACGTGGCCTATGCTGAATGCCTGAACCTGCTGGTGCCTCAGGTCCAGGCGACATAATCCTGATAGGTCCAACAACTGGATCAGGAGGACACCAATGACTGTGCCATCTGCCACTGTAGGCAGAGTGAACCTGCAGCTCAGAGATGGAAAATGCCTGTCCAAGGCCCTGGGCCTCTTAAGCCAGGCTGGTCTTGGCATGAATGCTTAGGGTTGGGGTGTCCAGCACCTCTGGCCTCTGCAGCGGCCATGCTACTCTCTCCCCCTCCATCCACTCACTCATCAATGCCAACATCGTTCAGTTTCTTCAGATTGTCCCCCTCGCCCCCGTACACAGCAACACGCTTGGGCATGAAGTTCTCATCAGTGGTATCGACTGTCAGCAGGAGCTTCCTGCAAAGGCAAGCATGAAATGAGGAGAAGGTAACTGTATCTGAACACCCATTGCTGCTCCCCCTCATTGCCTGGTTGCACTTGTTATCAAGCACATGCAGCTGGTGCTGGGATCCCCAGGTACCTGTGCCAATGCTAAGACCCCTTCAAGCCCAGAGCCAGAGCTGAGGGGCAGGGATCGCAGGGCAAATTTGGGACATGATGGACTGATGTAGAGAGTCAGGGCTGCAGGGCTTGCCCCAGCCATAAGCCAGCATGCAGGGGAGAGGTGCCTCACTTGACAATGGTGCCTTTCTTCATGTTGAGCCGCACCCAGTGCTGGCCCTGGGACCCATCACTCTCCCAGTACGTGTCGGCGTGGCTATCGGTCAAGCATGACACATTGAAGTCCTCCTGGAAGAGGGCAGTGAACGAAAGATCGATCAGATGGGGTTAGGATTAACTTCCCCTTAGTGGTTACTCTCATCATGAATCTTAAGAGTCAGAGGGCACCGAACTGGCCCATTCCCTTTGCTGGGCTGTGGGCAGACACAGTGAGTACAGAGTGCACAGAACCCTGGGGCTCATCCTCCAAGGCACTCTGGCGTCACACACAGAGCACAGAACATAAAACCCTCCATAAAATCTGCTTAGTAGCCAATATTAGCATTTGCTTCTCAAAGCACAGCCCCTCCAGGGGCCACATTACACAATATGCTGCATGACACTCTCCAGGCTTCTCTCCCACATTGTCAAACATAGCACAGTCAAGCCCAGAGCAGCACACCAAGCACCATACACGCTCCCCAGCCCCATGGCACAGTGGGACTGATCCAGCCTTGTCCCTTTAACCCACCGTGTAGGACGAGACATCTATGCTGTCCACGTACTGCTTGACACTGCCCAAGTTCTCATCCTCCTTCCCAATGTGATCATACAGGAAATGCACCAGGTCTTCGTCACATTCATAAGTCCATGTTGGGGGCACAAACCTACCAGGGAAAAGGGATTAATGGGTCTGGAGAGCCAGGGACAGACAGCCTAACAGGTCAGGGAAGGCAGGTCCATGTCCTGCTTCCCTTGGTCTTGCCCCATTTTCTGCTTTGTGCAAGCTTATCCAGGACAAGACTGTGCCGAGCACAGCTGTCCCCCGTTGCCTTTCTTCTTCCACCCTCCCCCCAGGTCTGCAGGAGATGGCTGTCTAAGCAGCCAGGGAGAGACAGTGGCTTGTACCCAACTGCAGCAGAAGCTGAGAAACAGCACATACCGAAGCTTCTCTACGGCAGCCTCATCCTGCTCCATGGGCTTGGGCTTCGCTCCGAGGCGCAGGGAGTATGTCAGATCCACCACCTGCTCCCACCTGAAACAACATAGAGAAGAAGGCGAGTAAGAAAATCCCAGGGGAAAGGAGGAGCCGATGGTCAAGGAGTAGCTGGAAGGGGAAGAATTTTGGTTTAAAGCCCCACCACACTGTTGTCCATCACCTCCGGCCTCATCCACTGCCCCTTCCTTTCCAACCATCTCTTCTTTTTCCATCCCACACCCTGCTAAGCAGGTGACAAGCACAGTGACCAAGTCAAACCCAGTTAACTCCACATCTGGCATCCCTATTGCCTCATTTCCATGCAAAAAGTGGCCAAGCAGCTGGGTCTCCTCAGTCCAGGGCAGGAACGTCTGAGGGGCAACACGCTGAAACCTCACGCAGTTGGGCCTAGGTGAATGGGGGGCGAGAATCTCCCTGCTCTCTGCCGTGCAAGGGGACCTAGACGGAAAGAGCGGCGGCCCCGCACCTGATGACGGGTTTGTAGTCCACCCCGAAGAGCTGCTGCTGCCG